CATTAAAAAATTATACCAACTATACTAATATCAATAGAGTTAAAAAAAAAGTAGTTAATAACTTGCTAGAAGCATGGGTAGATGCTAATATTCTATTGGTAAAATTTGATATGTCTTGCAGGTTTTTGTTAACTTACTGTTATAAAAAAAATGAAATTCTAACAACTGATACTCTTTATAAACAGTATTTATCTAATGTATTTAATAAATATTTAAAAAAGTTGTAAAATGAATCTTTTAATAAACCAGTAACTATTATAATTAATACTTTATTTTGTTATTATAATTTAATAAAATTAATTTCAGTAAATTTTGTGAACTTAGTTAATAATATAGTAATAAAACAACTTATAATTAAAACTTTAATAAAGTGGTCAATTTCTTTTAACAAACTATGACTTTTTGTGTTTAACTCAGCTTCATATATAAAGTAATGTTTTTAAAATGTAATAAAGCTAGTTATATTGCAAATTAGATACAATCTATATTCTGTTTATATCATTAATTTAATTAAGCATGTAATTTATTATATTAGTTTATATTATAAAATATTAAATAATACAAATTATTTATTTATTTTTGATTGTTTATTTATTTATTAAAAAGATTTAGATATCTATAAATCAATTTGATCAAGTAAAAAAATTGATTTCTAATATTAAAAAACTTTTATTTATGCAAAAAATTGTTATGCACAATATATAGATTATTTGAAATAACATGGTTTGCTGTCTAATAAAACTATGTATAATAAATTGGAATTAATCTTAAAGTTTATACTATTACCAAATACAACTAAATAAAACTTATAATTTCAAATAGCATTTTATGTTAATAATTACTTGGAATATTTATATGAATTTTATCAAAAAAAATAACAATTAGAAAATTTAAAAACTGTTAATAAAATAATGATGATTTTTAATAATTATTGTAATAATAAACTTGTAGAAATTTATTTTATATTTATTAAATATTATGCTTAATAGTTAATTGATAATTTTAATTTTTAACAAAAACAAAAACCTGTATTTTTTTTTATTGAAGAATGTATTCACCAACTTGAGATATTTCTTAATAATGATTAAACAAACACTAATTTTGATTAACTTGTTAATAGTTCTATTGAAAACTTTGATACTTAATCTTTATTTTTTAATTAACTTTTTTAGTTAGCTTTTAAATCTGCATTCAAAAAATTTTCTATTCATTTTTTATCTCATCTTTTTCATTCTCTTTTTTATACTACACAAATATTTGATTTTCATTTTATTTAATTAACTGTAGCTAATAGAAATATTTAAAAAATATTTTACAAATATTTATAAATTATCTAATTTTTTAGTTACACTTATTCAAGAATAAGAAATTTATTGTAATCTAGACTTAGTTTCAATTGAATATAACTATAATGAATTACATGTTTTTTGAGAAAAAATGGTATTAACTCTTTCACTTTTATCAAATATAACATTAAATTATACTTGGTTGCCAATTTCTTCATGTGAAGTTGAATACAGTTTTTCAGCATACAATAATATTTTAGAAAAAAATTGGCAAAATTTAAACATTGAATCATTAAAAATGCTAAATATGATGTATTTCAATAAAATTAATATCCAAAAAAAATTATAAAAACAAAATTGATATCAAAAAATACATATAATTTTTGAAATTGATATCCAAAAATTTAGTGATTTTCCAAAATAATTTTCCGGATCCTTGGACGTTGTACACTGTAAAAGGTTTAGCAGTACTTAATTTTGTTTGATTGCCAGACCTTCCTAAATGCATAGTTTATAAAAGACCTCTCTAAATGTGTTCCCAACTCATATGACACAGAGATTTATACCTTAAATGCAAAAATTTTGAAAGTCTGACTGTACCTGTTAGAATAGTTATAAACAACACTCAGGGTTTGTTCAACACCCCATGGCAACAAGTCAGAAGTAATAAAGCGAGAAACAGCAATATATATACCGTATTATCCCAAAATAACGCCCCAGAGCGTTATTTCGAGTGGCTTAATTTAAAACAAGCAAATAATTAACTTAGACGAAGAATTTTTTTAAACTTTACTATTTATTTGATATTAAAGTTTAAAAAAATTCTACGTCTAAATTTATTATTTGCTCGTTTATATTAAGACACTCGAAATAACGCCTCGGGCATTATTTTGGGATAATGTTAGATGTATTGTCATAATACAATCCCAGAGCTCTGTTCAATACAAGGTTTAAAAGTAGGAAAATATTACATAAATTATATACAAAATCTTATTCAGGTTAAACTAAAAGCAAAATACATACTTTTGATTTAGATTTAGTAATATTTCGTGAGTACGTTTCAGACATGGAATAAACCATATAACCGCGAAAATGGTTTATTTTGAATTTTGGGACCTTCCTAGCTTCGAAGACCGTTAAAATACCAAGAAAATAAAGTACCAGAGGCTAACTGTCTAGGAAATACATTGTTGGAAAATAATATGAAAGAAAAAAGAAATCTTTTTTTTTGTTTTATCAACACGTTTATTGTTTTGCTTAAAAATATGATTCACAAAAACGCGTAATCAATTTCACCCAATCAATTGAGATCTCTATAACCAATCAAATATTTTTCTAATTGGTTTATTGGTTGCATGCATAAATGTTCTTCAAACCTATGCATTTAAAATAAATTATTCAAGTTTATAAAATTGCAGTATCAATTGTAATGTATCTAATTTTAAGTTCCAGGAATTGGACCCAGGGAGTTATTTTGGTGATGTTCTTGAGGTAGTTTCGTCAAGAATTTATCTTTCTGAACCAAAACAAACAAGAAGTATTTTTTTTAACTATTTTTAATCTGTTGGAGCAGTCTTCTCTCAATACTTTTAGAAGAAATTTACCGGGGCTTTATAATACAATAAACCCCAATATGGCGTCATCCATATGATCCAGATATGACGACTCAAATGTAAATAAAAAATATTAATTATTTACAGTAAGAGTTTCACCTTAAACTTACAGGAATGATTGAATGAGTTTTATTGAGTAGAATGGCTATGTCAGAAGTGGTTTAGCACCTTGTTTTTTACATTCTGATTGGGTGGTACATGAAAATTCGATAACGAGAATTATGTTAATAATTGTATGTTTTTGGACTCAAAAAAAAATTTTTTTTTAATGGGACTATTATGGTTTACAGTTTTAAGACTGGTCAAATCTTAAGACTGAGAATAGATTAATTTGTTTCATTTCCAGACTGATCTTAAGACTAACTATAGTCTATTAGTCTAGGACCAGACCGCATAACATCTCAAATAATACACGTCAAATAGCAATAACAGGTCAATTCTTAATGATTTTTAATTGTTTTAACATATAGTCATCTGCTATACAGTAATATAACAGATGCTTTGCATCAGATTTAGCGGTTTAGCAGTCCAAACATGAGAAATCTGAATTTTTCCAAAATAGCATGCAAAGGAATTTTGGATTATGGCTAAAATAAAGCCCACGCTTATTATTTTGAACTTTTAAAATGTAAATATAATGGGCCTAATAGTAAAAAATCAATACGTATTATGAAGTACTATATAATTTTGATTATTATATACTTAAGTATATAGGTTATTTTAATAAAATTTAAAAGTCCATAAATTCTTTGTTAGCTATAGTTAATCTAATAACTAATATTTTTATGGAGCTGATATTCCCACACCTCTTTTAATATTTCAACACCCATGTAAATCACTCTTTTTTAAAATTTTTATCGAGATATCTCGACAAACACCTATAACTTTCAATGTTCCTTTTTTTTTATTTGAATCTTTATTGACTCATAGAATGTTTTTTTTTTAAAAAAAAGGTGTTGAATTTTAATAGGTGGCTGTCGAGGTATATACTAAAAAGAGTAATTAAATGGATATGGAAACATCAGTTCCCTATTTTTATCTAGTCCCAAGATTTAAACAATATTTTCGACATTACTTTTCAACTATTTCTTATTGCAAATCACATAAAAATCTAACCTATTTATATATCAAAAGAAAGGTTAGATGGTTATTATGTAATTTACAATAAAAAATGCTGAGAAACAATAATGAAACCGAATAACACGCTCAATACTTCAAATTAATACCCAAATGCTATCAGTAAATACTCTATAACTAGTCTAAATTTATGATAATTATTAGCAATGGTTGAAATTAATGATAATTAATCTACAAAAAAAAAAAAACCTCCATAAAATCCGAGTTGGAAAGGGTGAAACTTGAAACGCTAAAACATTGTTTTTGATGCATCAATGTATATTAGAGTTTAACTAAAGCATCAAAAATATTATCTTTGCAAAATATAGTTGTATAGACCTGCATATTAAAAGACTTGAAGTATTGGCCTAAAATTGATTGGTTCAACATTAATACCAATTAGACATTTTTACTATGTAAAATACTGCATTAAGAATTTTATTATAAATATGTTCGGAGTGGAGAAGTATGCGGCAAGGCAATTTAAAATCTTACAATGTTCCAGGAGTTAACAACATAGTACTAATATGTTTACTAAATAAAATTTTACTATTCAACGTTTCTTTACATGTAGTCACTCTTAAACAAAAGTTACAATTATATATACAATTTAAAAAAAACAAATAAATAAATAGTAATAATGATAATAGCAAAGTTTTGAAACTAATAATAAATTTTATAAAAAACTGATAAGCACTTAAAATTTGTATTAAATTACATTACAAAGAGCTTTCATAAATATTTTATCAAAAAATCTTGATTCTATAGATAACAGTTACTAAAACCAACATTATATTGTATTTATGTGCGAAATTTTGCAAATCAGTAACTGGTGAGAAACGGACAATGTTGAGCATTTCAATATATGTCAAGTCTTTGAAAAAGATGAACGGGTCTTCTTAGTTTACCATCTCATTTTTCATAGTTCAACAACAACAGAAGAAAGAATAGCCATTGAAATATGATCTCAGGTGAAAATAATAACTCAATTCTTTTCATTAGAATTTGGATCCCCCGTCGTTGGGACTGCTGTTAAAGGTACATTTTCCGGTGTTGGTGAGTTTGATCGAGTAGTATTACTTGACGGTACCACGAAAACCGGTGTTGAATGTAGATCAGGCGAAGATGAACGAGCGACTTGTCTAATATTTATAGAAGGAACATGTAGGGTAAGTGAAACAGGTAGAATGAGTGAAAAATGAAAGCATGATAAATTCTTGAGTTTTTTTTTTTTTTAATATACATTGTATCAGTCTGATTTTGTTCATCCGCATTACTGGTATTATTAATAGGAGACTCTAGAGGGTCCTCAACAGAATCATCATTCCAAAGTGGTAACCACCACCCGCCTCTTCTACCATTCTCAGCCTTGATAAATCCACGAAAATTTACAAGATTGGATAAAGGCGGTTTGGATTCGAGATTTGCGAAAAAGCTGGAAGATGGCAATATTCGAGGAAGATATCCAAAAGCGTCTTGAAACCACAATTACCAAATAAATTTTTATAACAGTGAGAACTATATTAATAGTCAATAATACACAATTAGGATTAAAAAGTGCTTACAAAAATAGCCAACAAATAGCCCGCATAGATAACTGGCAATCCATTTAGTTTCTAACATGATTTCCACCAGCAACAACACAAGTGGATAAAAATGAGACGGAACCCTAAAGAGGCCAAAAATCCTGTATCCGCACACGTAGAAAATAACTTATATTAGTATGAATAAATATATATATATATATATGTAAGAAATGAAATAACAATAGTTACTCTCGCTCGCTTCCAGCCAATTCCCTGCTTTCCCATACAACAACACCAAATACCCAAGTACTCAACCCTCCTATTCCTTCGTCTTTGTATTGGAAAATCAACGAGCCCAGCAAGTAAAGAGAACCCGATAGTACAGTGAAAATAGTGATCAACACATAAGAATACTCAACGGTGCCAATTGTATGTTCAATTCCCGTACTCAATGGCAAAAATACCAAAAGATTAAAAAGTAATTGTCCAAGAGAATTGTGTGAATAAGGATATGTCAAGAGACGCCACACTGAAACGTTAATATAGTGTTATGATTAAGACAAAACTAGAATAAATGAAATTAGAAATGAGCGAGGCCATGGTGTTCTTTTGGCGTCACTCAGATATAAAAGATACGACGAAAATACCTTGTCCATCAAAAAAATCACTCGGCTTAAGACAAAGTGCATTGAATATGGGTGTTGTACTAAACAAGAAAGCGCTGACTGTATACAATACAATTGCTACGCAAGCAATCGTAGTTGTCAATAGTGGCAATGAGAAAATATAAGACTTGAATGTTGACGTAACAGTAGTAAACGAAGGTATATTTCTTCGAGCTTCAGTCATGTTTGGGCGAATGCAACTATGAATCTTTTTTCAACATTAAATCATAACGTTAACTATAACGCTACTCGGAGCTAAACCAAACCAAGTTCAGTTTTTTTATAATTGCGTAATAATAACTTAAATATGTGACATGCAGATATGTGTAACTATCCCAGGATCGCGGGTCTTTGGACACGTATCATTGTCCAGACCAGATTTTGTCAGCACCTATTTTTAGATTGGATTATCATCACTTTATTTAATTTGTCTGTCGCTATTTTTAGCTGATGGCTCTAGCTCCAGATTTATGCCAGGTTTGTGGCGCAGCAAAACTTCTTTAAAGTTCGTTTATGTTAGGGTTAGGGTCGGGTTTGGGAATCAGAGGGGAGCAGTTTATATATTACAATTGACTTTTTATTAGAGAATTAAAGGTGATTTCTTATGCTGATTTTTGAGAAGTAAGCGATTTTTAACATTACGCCTGATCTTGAAATCTGATTCGTAGTTCAGGAAATCTGCGCCACAAACCTGTCTCTGAAACATGTTATGCCCTGGACTTACAACGGTTCCCGTTTTCCTAGTTATATTTGTACATAGAACGCAAGGACCAGGCAAATTTCTATTTCGATACAAGTACGTATATAAAATGAGGCGCCATCGATCAAAATTGGTTAATTTACTAATTTATAAAACTCAATGATAAATTTATACCGATACGTATTCTCATTTGTTTGACAAAGTCTCAAATTGAAAATTTGCCTACGTACTACTATTTCAGCACATTTACCTTTGTATTCTTACCAAAATTCAATCAAACTAATAACTCAAAAATAAACTTTGTAAATCCTTATAAATAATTATATTATTATATACAGTAATAATTTGCGGTTTGTCGCTAACTATCTACTTTCAATCATTTTCTAAATGGACCAACGAATTAATCTGATTTTCTTTATTGGTCGATGCCAAGTATATACAGTCAACTCTCTCTAATCCGAACCTCTCTAATCTGAACACTATTAAATTCTCTGAGAACTGAACAAAACTCTAGAACATTTGCAAATTTTATTATAAAGTTCGGATTAGCAATACATAACTCTTTGAGATCTGAATCCTTAAAGAACATTTTTGACGGAATAGAGAGAGTTGACTTGTCAAAATTTTCATATGATCTGAATTCATTTCTTATAGCGGTCTCGTGATGATTTACGCTAAATTTTTTATTAGCCAAAAAAACCGCAGATCGTCAACGCATTTTTCAATTAAAAAATAAACTTTTGCCGTTAGGGTAAGGTTGAACATTAGGATGATAGTATAGAGGGTACCGGATATAGCAAAATTTTTCAAGGAATTTTTTTCGCTAAGACGCAGAAAGTGGTTTGATAATCAAGCCGGTGGTTTGTTTTCTTTTTACGTTACACCTGATCCTGTGTCATGATTGATTTAAAATCATGTGTCCGCGGACCTTTACAACAGTGATATATGACTTATGCATTACGCATATAATATTACTGATCATATATTTAATATATATACATGTACATACATATATCAATATACTTTGATGAAAGTTTGGAACAAGAGATGTGATGACCTATATAGTGAAGTGAACAGGTTGTTAATTTCCAAGTGGCAGACTTAATGTTCAAATCTTATAAACAATGAAATTTGAAAATTATATCTGTTATAGTAACTGTCTCTGGTTGATCAGTTGGATTTATGCATCTGTAATCTTAGATTAGTAATTTAAATCATTTAGTTGAAAAAACAATTAGTTGACAATTTTTTAACTAATCAATTTAAAAAATTTTAAAACAATTAGTTAATTAAATTATTAATCAGTTAAATTTTAAGATATTTCATCTATTTGGATTGGTTTGTGTTAATTTTTTTAATTAATTAATCAATAAATTTAATATATGATAAGAAAAATTAATTGGTTGCAATTATAGTTGACAACTAATTAATTGAAAAATTTTTTATTAACTTAAAACATTCTCTTAAATACATCAAGTTAGGTTCTACTTGATATTAAAGTATCTATATGAAGTGTAATATTATATATACATATATAAAAAAATATTAAAATCAATATTATATAAAATTTCAGTATAAATTTATAATAAAATTATTAACATAAAAGATTAAAAAACTGAAAAAACAGAAGTTCATTTGGAATTATAAATAAAGAAGTAGCACAAACTTTTAATAATATTGTTAGATTAATGAAAATTTATAAACTAAATTAAATATATGACTACTGTTTGTTTATTTTATTATTTATATATTTATATATAACTAAGTTTGATTTGTCATACAGAAACTTCAGTAATTTTCTAAATTTTCAAATTTTTTAAAAAAAATTTAGAAAAAATTTTCTAATGCTTAGTATATTGGCTACAAAGCCAAAAACTTCTAATAAATTATAAGTTTTTTTTAGTTCTTTTTTTTCTTAAAACATTAAACTAAGTTGTAAGTTTTTTGTTTTGTTTAGTTTTGATAAAAAAGATTAGTAAAAAGAATAATTAAAAATTAAACTCTTTCTAGTATTTTAAAACTTCTAATTCAAATAACCAATTAAGATTGTAATTTATTTCTATATATACATCTAATATTTTTTTTTAATTTGAATTTCAATAACCTAATTAATATTGTGATTCTTATTTGATTTTTTTAAAAAGCTTTTTTAAGATTCTTTTTGAATAACTTTTTTTAAAATTTATCTTTACAGTAATATTGTTAAAAATTTATACTATTTTTTGTTTAGAATTTATAAGTAAAATTCTATCCAATTCTGTTTTTTAGATTTTTATATCTAATAACCTTATTGTAAATTTATACTAATTCTAATACTGATATATATTCTTTTATATAATGTTATATAGATGTTCTGAACTTTTAATTATGCTAATATAACCAAGTTTACAAATATCTTAACCTAATTTAGTTTGAACAGTATGCTGTAATACAAGTAATTTTTTTAAATTTCATTATAAGTAAGATTTGAACTCTAAACCTGTTACTTTGAAAAGTAACAATTTATTTACTACTTCAAATTATCACACACTTCTTAAACCATTTTTTTGATTCAAAAAAATAATTTATCCAAAAACTATTTTTAGAATATGTCAAAAACCTTTTATTTTCATCAGATTTATATTTATTTCTGATCACATATCAAAAGGATATCCTTATGTTAAGAAAATTCCAAGCTGCTGACCAAAAAAATATAGGTCATAGTATCTCAAAAATTCTCTATATATCTAACACTAAAAATTGTGTCTTATGAGTAAAGTTTCATTCTGAAAACTTAGAGATCGGAAGTTAGTTTCATAGTAAAATTTTTGTGTTATTTACATTTTTTTACAATTATGTTTTCGCATTTGTTTTTTACACGAAATTCTTCTTCAGCCCGGGCTTTTCTTACCTCCCGTTAATATCAATCTCTTAAGAAAAAATAGGCTCAGGATATATCAAAACTATCCCGCTGTTATCAACCCTCGCATATATCAACATAATTGTCTAATCCAATGGGTTGATATTAACGGGGTAACCTGTACCATCTAATACTTTATATCATTTATCAGTAGCTATCAACTCACATCACTAGTTCTACTATAAATTTTTATATTTAATTATAATAAATTATTGCAAATATATATTTAACTTTTTATTAATCTAATAAAATATTTATTTATAAATTATTTGAAACAAAAAAAAATTTATAAGCTTACATAGCAAAAAAATACATCAAAAATCTTATTTTGTTTTTCGGACTTATAATTTGACATCGTGAAAAATGCTATTTGAAAAAAAATCCTATTTATTTTATAAAATGCGTTAATTTTGAAACCCATTCTATAATATTTATAGCGAGCGAGCAATACTACGTACTCGTATGGTCTTGTATATATGTCGTAAGTGGAAATGGGATTTAAGTGGATTTAGAATTTCCTATTTAAATTGGGGTTAGGGTGTATATATGACAAAATTAACCCCAAAAATGCGGGTTTTATATAAAAATTCCGAATCCACTTAAATTCCGTTTCCACTTACAACATATATATTATACCTATTGACCTAACTATATTGATTTATCACTTTCAATATGATATATCGACCAAATGTAATATCCGGCTCTTCAGTACCGGTGACGTGTATTCAATTCTTAAAATGAAGTTCTTGAATAAGGTCTGGATACTGTAATCAGCGACAACAGTAAAGATAATTTATTTTATAAAATTTAATATACACTTAGGATTGTTTGCATTTAGAAAGGTTTATCAACATATCTAAATTTTAAACAAGACATGGTAAAAAATTCTATCGTAATCAATCTTTATTTAATAAATGGGCTAATTTAGGATCATTATATCTATACGATTCGCCACTCATTTCTTGAGTGGCGCCAGCTACAACTAAAGCAGCCATGACACGACCTGGTTCATCAGGATGAATTAAAGTCTTCGATTTATAAAGGTCTATGTATCTTTGATGATCAGTTGTTTTCATTTGTGCCTTCAATCCTTTTAATTTACATATATATTGTTGAATTGAAAATTATGATTTTTATGAAATTACCAAAATATTGAAAAGACGTACCATTGTCACGTATATTGGCTTGCATAGCTGTATCAACAACACCAGGAAGAATTGATACAGAAATTATATCTGGTTCTTCGATTGCAATGCACTTTGTTAACATATGCAAAGCGGCTTTTGAACTATTAGATAAAAAGAGTATAAATCAAGCTGAATAAGGCATAATATACTTTAAATATATATATATATTTAATGTAACTTTATAATAATACGTTACGTGCAATAAGGAGACCAGCTTTGATGAGCACTAGTCGCAACACCAGTGGAGACAGTAATAATTCGGCCTTTCGAGCTTCGAAGGTAAGGGATTGACTTTTGGATAAGCAAGATATTTGAAAAAAAGTTTACATCGAAGTGACTATTTTATTAATATTTGATGATGTGAGTGAATTTGAACAGTTATAAAAAGAATTTATAATGTATTGTTACCGTTTCCATTCTTGTAAATTAATATCAGCAATGTTACCCATTGGATCTAACATACTAAGAACTAATGATTTTAGATAAAAATATTAGCAAAATCAAAGGAGAATAGATATATAATCACTTACCCTGCATTAGCAATAATACCATCAATTCTCCCCCATCGATCTATGCATTTTTTAATAGCTTCTTCGACGATATGTTCTTCGGTGATATCACCAATAACAATTTCCAATTTTCCTTTCACACCCAACTCATTTTCGGCGTGACTTTTCAAATCATTCAAGTCCTGGTTTGCACGTGCAACAGCAATTACATTACTGTTATAGTGTTGCAATAATTGTAGGACTGTAGCACGTCCTATACCGCGAGAAGCACCAGTTACAATTACTACTTTGGACATTTTCTATGGAACTTACAAAGTGACTAAATGTCAAAGTGACTAAGCGTTGAAGCACCTAAGTGTCAAGCAACTAAGCGACTAAGCATTAAAGTGTCAAAGTCAAAGCATTAAAGCAACTGCTGAATTACAGAATTCGTTACGTCATAATGAGGTGTTGAGTCATGTGGATTTTAAGGTTAGATCAGGGACAGTGATCAGTAATTTCTGTTTGTTGATTGTACCGGTTTTAATAATTCGAGTTTATCAAAAAATCACGTGATAACCCTGACCAGCTAGTTGATTGTCTACGTTTCCGAAACTTACTCACAGTTCAAGTTGGCCAAATTTGTGTTGTCCGGCCCAAATTATACACTTAATTTTGCCCGAAGTAGTATTGTTACACCGCATTAAAAATTACATGGACCCTGATATGTAGCATGACTTATCGTTATGACCAAGGATTGTAAATTTTTTTTTCATTATGACTATGACTAAAAAGTCACATGATTATACGACCAGGGTCATATAGAATATACTTCCATCGCAGATAACTCAAATTTTGTAGCAACTACAAAATTTTATATTAACTCTAACTCTGACCTTACCTCTAACGCTAACATCAAAGGTACGCTTTGTCAATTATTTTAACGTTTTAGATGCCAATTGGCGAAAAGTCTACCAGTTACGTACATGATCTAACCTCAGTATTGTCACAGGCATGAGTTTGAACAAATTTGAACATTTTTGAACTCAAAATTTTATTAAGCTAATTTATAAATTGGTTCTTCATAAAATTTTAAAAGTGACCCGGCAACCCGACTTTTAATTTTATTTTTAAAAAATTATATATATAATAAGCATATATAGATTTTTTTTAAAAAAAAATCACCCAGATAGTGGTTATGAGAACAGATTTATTAAGTTTGCATGACCTTAATTTCTATTTTTTTACGGGGGTGATCACCAAATTTCCGGATCGGATCCATCGGATTTAGGCCGGCATTTAGCAATACAAGTCAACCATTTCTGGGCCAAAATTATCAGCTGAGCAGCTTTACCTAATGAGTGGGCTATAACTTCATTAGTAAAACTTTTAGTAATCTTGGAAAAATTAGTTAATTCTGGTCCCGCTGATCATGATTCCGAGGTATTCTAACGTGGAATTTTGGTAACCTCTCTGTGAGTTTTGTGTTTGAAATCTGTGACAGGTTATGTAAATAACTTAAGATTTTACTAGTTTGACTTCTAATAAAAAGTTTTAGCTCGAAATTTTAGATATAAATACATTTAAATATCAAATATCAAGTAAATTAAAGCCTGCACTTAATTCTGATCTTATGCTCTTTCGATTTGATCATA